CTCAGCTTCGATATAGTTCCCAAGGATAGGAAGCAGGCATAGATTGGAAATTGCAGCCTACCATGTTTTTCCTTCCTCAGACGGAGCGCGAGAATTTGCAGTTAGCGGAGAAGAAGGCAGCAGAGGAGAAACGCCAAAGAAACGCTCTGGAGGTGAGTTTGGCCGCTGAGAAGCGTGCTAGGAGAGAGGCGGAGAATGCTCTGAAGGCGGCAACTCCGTATGGCTCAGTGACAAACACGATCGTTCCTACCTCCGCACCGCCTGTCACCACCGCCAAGTATGCCACTTGAACTTTATTTATGTCTAAAGTGTGTTACCCATTTCTTCATCTTCTGGTATCCCAACTCCATTTTTTTGCTACTTGAGGCCAGGTGTTGCTTGCTTACACATTTCTTGTTTCGTCCATCTTCATCCGAAGTTGTCTAGAGTGCCTACTTGATTTTTACGACTTTATCAAGTTTATATCACTATGCAGACACGTAAATGAAACGCCATTGTATTGTGCTACCGTTAATTTGCCTCTTATTCGTTCATTGCTGTCATTTGATTGCCACATCTCTCTTAACGAACCGTGACACGTTGAAGTCGTAGCTTGCGCAAAGCATTTATATGATCAGTTAAACTCATGCCATCCTCAGTATGGCCTTTTTCAATTCCTCGTGTAATCCGGTAGGCACTTGTAAAGCACATGCGACTGTTTATATGGCATTGTAGAGGACAGATATGCGTCTGTCCATCGGTACTTTGTGTTTATTTGGTATGCACTTGAAGCCTCAGACAAATCCTGTCTGCTATATGAATGGAACAAAATTTATTTAATTTCAAAGTTGTGTAGAATTTGAAGAAGGTAATGGGAGAGTGAACTTAGTGATTCTATATTCACGTTTTGGTGCACCCTATTCGTGGAAGTTATTCCCAGTTTCCATTAATGCAGAAAATGAGCTAAGAATCCAATGGCACTTTAATTAGGTTGTGAAAGTTGTGGACGCTACTAAGGCTTATGTGTTAGTAGATGGTGATGTGCTCCGTTTTTGGCGCGATTTTGTCACCCACCTGAGGTGTTCTGTACTGATCAGGCCTCTGGAATTCATCACATGTCTCACAAGCTCAGCAGACGGCAATCGAGTCTGTGTTCGTGGAGGTCTTGCAGTAGTTGCGCTAATTAACTGTCTGGCTAGTGTGTTGCTTCGATTCGTAAGATTCAAGTTTCACACTTCTGATCGTAACAAAACTTCATTTATCACTTTCCACCGTGTCCCATCCACACATGGACGCATTACCACTGCCGTCTACCAACCTGATTAGTCTCGTCTCTTCAGCCATATGACATTTGCGTCAACCATTGTGAATAGGTCAAAAAATATTTGTCATTTGGGACGACAGTACCACCACAACACCGGCTCGTTTTTGACGTCCCCTGTAATCAAGTTTATTAATTTTCTTCTGCAACATTGCTTAGGTTGTTCGCTAGAATTGATGGAGACAGAATTCGGGGAGATGTGCTTTTGCATTCTATTTTTGTGTCTAGAGGCGTAACGAAGCTCGGATTGGGATCAGTGGGCAATAACCGACCAGTAGGTAGCAGCGGAGGCAGTGGAACTGGCACTATGAACCTCAATCGTTGCACTTCCGAGTCCTGCAATCACCGGATGCATGAGTTGGAGACTCGATTAAAGTCTCTCACTCGTGAACTGTCCATGAAGGAGGCACAGCTGATTGCCGCGTCACAGTCAAACCTCCTGAAGCAGTCTCAACAACAACAACAACAGCAGCATCAGAACTGTGAACAGAGTCATAGGATTGCTGATCTCATGATCCACCTTGGTGATTTGGAGGCGGAGAATGCGCGTCTTAAAGCGGCTATTAAATCGGAGGAAAAGATGAAACAGGAACTGCTTGCTGGCTACCACAACTCTTTGAAGGAGATCACCGAACTTAATTGTAGGTTTCATTGCGAAAACCTTCTAACACCACTTGATTATTCGCCTCATTTGCTTGAAGACTGGTGTCACGAGTACTACACCAGTTCCGTTAACGTTCTTTATTATTATTTTTGAAGTGATCATTGCCAAACTCCAAACCACTTTAAGGGGCGCTGAAAAAGAGCTGAAGGAATAAAAATGTGGTACAGATAGGCGAAATGAACCGTTTTATGAGCATCAAGCTACTGCATACTTTTGCTGGAAATTTTTCAAAACACTCTCGAACTCAGAATATCCGTCAAAGTGCTATGATAAAACGTTAGATTTCAACGTCAAGGGTGGATCGCGTCGACACTGTGGAATCTGTGTCTCCACATCTCTTGAACTTCACCGATTTTGTATCCCTTCTGGCAAGACGAGTGTAATTCTCATCCTAATCTCCATTCGTGGGAGCTTAGTCTTATGCGGTCCGCCTGGACTCCAATCAGCTCTGTAAAGAAGTGGGCGGCTTGTTGCTTGAAGTCTCATGTTAATCCATTTATCAATACCTTTCTCTCACCTCCCCAAAAAATGGCTTTATTTAGGCCTTCATTCGAAAGGTTTCGTGAATTTAGCTAGCCTTAGCAAATGCCCTAGAAGTTGGAAATTTTCTCTTGGCTTGACTTTGAAGCTTCCCTCCTGATGTTTGAATAGTTCCAACTAATGTGGCAACACGGGTGCTGTAGTTGCGTGGAAGAAATGGGAAACGGTGTAGGCATGACTGGAACAAAGTACAATCCGGAGCGGTAGCTTTCCATAATGGGTTATTGTTTAGAGTACTTCCAGTTTGACGAACTGGGGGGATTTTCGTTGCACCTATGTCACTTTTGGATGCATGACATTGTTCATCATGCATGAAATGTCAGTTTGTCATTGTTGTTCGATTGTACTCTGGAACCGTTTTGTCATTTTGAGCGCTCGTTTCATGAAGGATTTGCTAAATTCGAAGTTGTCTTACGGACTGTGTTCATCTCGGTTCCGGGATTGTGGAAATTTCTGACATTATAGTGCTGTAAAAGGGCACGTCGCTCAAAATTGGCTCCTTTCATAAGATTTGTTTAATGTCAGTCACTACAACCTCACTACTTGGGGAATCCCGTCTATAAGGTGTCCAACTTTTCCTCTTTTTCAGCCACATTAACTCGAAAAGAATATCAAATAGTGGATTTGCATATGCGATTGGATATGATGAATCCAAACAGTCCCTTCAACATCATCCTTGCCTCAGATGCCACCTCAGGACCTGACGGAAGGGGTGGAGGTCATCCGCGGACTTCCACAAGTTTCCTCAATACCACCAGTGCAGGTGGTGGGAGTGGAAGTAGTCTTTTTCCGCCTCGCTCTACTGACACCGATTTTGATTTCGGTGGAGGGAGTGGTTGGCCACCTTTTCCCACTTCCTCCGCAGCTACATCTGTCGCATTTTCCGAACATCATCATCAGCAGCAACATCGGCTGCGCTCCGAAAGCACTAGTGCTGTGCTCAATGCTCTTATGAGTGCACGGGAGGACAAAAGTGCAATTCAACCGCCTCTACCCCCACCTCCTAGGTTTGATACCAATGCTGAAGTGGATCTAGAGGCGGCCTCTAGCAGTCTCTCTCCACCAGAGTTCTTGTCAAAACTAAGGACCCAGCTGGCGATGGCGGGGGCAGCGAACGGCCCACCACCTCAGCCACAGCCACCTCCACAGCAACCTCAACGAGCACCACCACAACAACAACCTGCACCGATTAGTCCGCCTTCGCGTGATATTGTCAGTGCGATTTCAGTCGAACCGGAGAGTTTGCCTCAAATCAGCCCTGGTGCGGTGGACGAGACTGAGAGTGATGCAGCAGGCGGCGGAGGTGGGGTGATGGGAGAGGAGGTGGGAGTGGGAAAGACAGGGGGTTAGTGCATGTGTGCATAGGCCCAAGGCTCTGCCATGTGCTGCATTTCTGTATCCCTTTGTCTCTCTTTCTCTCTCTCCTCTTACCACAGAAACACTTCTACCTTACTAACTGAGCCTCTCCTTCTGGTTCCTCTGCTTATGCGTGCTTTTTCCCTCCAACTGCCGTATCGTTGCTCCACATGCATACATTTATCAAACAAAGGCGGATACTTCGATGATATAGTGTTTTATTATCCAAAGTTTTGGTCTTCTTTTATCTGGAGACTTGGTAATCGGTGTAGGGAATCATCGTAACTGCATGTTTTGGATCGGGTTGTGGTTTCTTAAAGCTTCGATATTTCCTATTCTTCCTTGTTTTCATCGAACTGTGTCTGTGTAAACAGCTTCTGTCTCGTTTTGGCGTCTCAAGGATATTCCTTGGAGTTAGGAGTGATGATCGTGTGCGCATTTTTTATTGAGTTAGTGTTAATTTCGATCCCACTGATGAGCTTCAGTCTCTGTGCCCTGATGGATTGTCACTCAGCTAACTAAATGTCATCCAAGGCTTAGCATTTGTAGTGGTTGGAAGGGTCCCTTGCAGCTGACTTTTTCCATTGGCAGAGCTTTCTGATGGCTCCAGAGCGGATTTTGGAATTACTGCATCTTTTCAACTGCCTACTCAGAGGTACGAAGCTTGAGCCTTGTCCGTGGCCCTTGAATGCCAGCATATTCAGGCTTTCAGTCGACCAAAGGGAACTTATTTCTAGTTCTGCCGTTGATCGTTTCTCAACTATCGAAGACATGTTTTGACAACGGCAAAAATGTGTGGCATATTACCCAGAAGTTAACATTACAGTTGAAATACGGAAAGTTCCACGGCGGACTTATAAGAAGCACGTTGGGGTGATCTTGTTCTCCTGCCTAAATGAATCAGGAAACCCGTATTCTTAGTGCTTGTAGGAGAGGGCTAAAGCAGCCTTCAAGATGCGTGCCCAAATTTGTGGGATCAAAAGTGTGCATAGGATGCTTGTGCTTTATTTTTCGATTTTTGTAAACTGCCAATGGATGTGTGTGCGTGTGTGTGTGTGAGTAAGTGAGCGATCAACCGGAGATGCGAAAGAGGGAAGAGGGAAGTGAGGATGCCGGCGTTGGTTCCGTATTTGTCTCATCTCATGCAGCAGCTACTGATGGCGTGGGTGTGGAGGCACTCGAGTCGGCCGCCTTAACACCATAACAAAGGAGGTGGTAGTTTGAGTCGCCCACCACCACCCGCCGTGCTTCATGTGCACCTGGCTCTATCGCAATCGGTCGTTTGCAGGCGGCACAGCGCGGTGCATAGCGTTTGTTGAAGTCTTCCAAACACAGCGGACGACCGTGCACGTCCACAGTGAAGGGCTTGGCGTCTAAGTGGGTGTGACACACTGAGCAGACGAAGCAGGCCGGATGATAGGGTGCACCCAATGCTCGAACGATCCTCTCTCCTGAACAAGGATT